AGAGAGAGAGAGAGAGAGAGAGAGAGAGAGAGAGAGAGAGAGAGAGAGAGAGAGAGAGAGAGAGAGGATGTGAAAGCAGACACGGAGGTCAAGTTTGAGGTTTCGCAGTTGCAGAAACTACTAACCCATAAGGCAACCCGCGACCGGCAGAGGATGGATGTCCTGGTGCACGGCCTGCTATACCACCATACGGAACGGCAGCTCCGTAATTGCCAGGAACTGCATAACTGCCTCTGACTATGTTACCAGCACCAGGAGCAGTTCCAGCACCACCACCATATGCACCAGCATACGCACTTCTTGCGTATCCAACCTGCTGACCCTGTTGAGGTGGTCGATTACCTTGCTGCTGATGCCACTGCCCCTGACCAGAGGTACCGCCCCCTCCTCCGGGATAATGCAACGCTGGAGGTCCAGGGGGTGCAAGAGACGAAGGATTCTGCCTCTTTTGACTGTGTTGCTGCTGGTGAGAAGGCTGCTGCTGCTGATGTAATGCTCGCCCCTGCTGTTGCTTCTGCCGCTTGGCATCCTCCATCTGCACATAAGAAAAAGAAAAGACAAGAAAAAAAACACCCTTGCTCAGCTCAGAGACAGGCTGCAGGATTCCATGCAAAGGCAAGAGTGAAGACTCATCCATGAAAATACTAGGGTAATCTTAAAACTCCTCAGTGTCCTCACCAACACACACTCATCCGTGAGGATCAATCCATTCACTTGACGTGCATCTCGGTATGCGCACTGTAGAAGCAACCATCAGGAGGTTCATCGACCAATCACCGAACAGAATGAATCAACTAGCAGAACCGATGAACGGCCCCCCAACGTGCAGATAAACACATCTAGAAGTCCATTTGCTCATTCACTGCTTGATCTAAACTGTCCACCGGTGGTTAGCGGGGACCCCCACTTTCAGCTCCTGAGTAACGGGTCAAAAACTGAAATTAGGCCGCCTCCGTTAACCGTCTCTCCTACGCTGTTGAGAAGCGTGGGTGGACGTTCTCACGCACAGATGTAACTTCCTGCAGAGGCAATGACACCGATCGCCCTTCTGTGCACACATGCTAGTTACCCTCCTAACTGAACTAAGGGGATCTCCTTTTCTGTCTTACATCAAACCATCTTCCTTGCGTTTTTTACTAATTTTTAGGCCTTTTCTTTCTATTTCTATTTCTATTTTGAAAGCACCTTCCTTCTGAACAAGCTTCCTAAGAAAGTCGCACTTCTACTATACTGTTCTGTGCACTGATTATTATTATTATTATTATTATTATTATTATTATTATTATTATTATTATTATTATTATTATTGCTTTCCATTATTAATTAATGATCTTAAATTCAATTCACAATTTCGGAGTTCCCCACATGGCTGAAACGAGCAGGTTGAGGAAGAAGCGGGGCATGTGTGCCATGTTTGACATTGTGTCACAGTTTTGCCCCTATTTGCAGAAAAGAAAAGTCAAATGTGTCCTTCTACCAATGTCACAGTTTTGGCCCTCTTTTCTCCAGCTGACCAAAAACAAAAAAAAAAACAAAGTTACCAAAGAGTGTCTAGCTTAGTTGGTTGGTACACCCATGACCTGTTGAAATACCAACCCCAGTTTGAACTTTGAACCCGGATGCAATCAGTCAGATTCTAAATTACCTGGGGCCCGGTCAATTCAATGGTGATATCTCAAGATCGTCCCCCTTTAAAGGAAAGACGGGGAGGTTTTCAGCGTGCAGAAACGGCCAAGGAACAACCTGCTAGTGCCTGATGAGATCTATCGAACCGCCCACCAAAGCTCGTTCGCAACGCCCTTCGGAATACCACTGACATTTTTAAGAACTCGTGAACGAATGAATGAATTTGAGTTTGAAATTTGAATTTAACCAGCCGCACGCAGGCGCATACATACAAAATATTACAAAGTATGGCCCCCGTTTTAACTGTGGGCACACGTTGCTTGCGGGCTGGTGCTTGTTTAATCAAATTCACACCCCTTCACCTGACCCTGATTGTGCAGTCCGAGAAAAATTTTCTCCCGTTCACGATGACTGCCCACGGGATGTTGTTTACAACTTTGCAGTGAACGCGACGTTCAATCCTATTTGGTTGCGATCAAATAATCGAAGCCTCCATAGTACATACATATTACATAGTAAGGGGGTATAAACTTATAAAGTCTTTTGCATTCTTGGCTGCACCGTATAGTGCTTCTGAGATTAGACAATAGCGTATTCTAGAGAAAGAAGTTCTTCCATGAACGAACATGCACGACGATAGCGTTGACTTACTGAGTGTCCTACCTGTTGCCTCGCTGCTTGCCGCCTCTTCTTCGTCTGAAACTCATGCGACGGCTCGTACTTGGGGAGGCTGTGGAGCGTGCACGCACAAAACCAGTAACAAATGGGACATTGTTTTCCATCTATCAAAGTTCTGATATCTATCAAAGTTCTGATGGCCCCTCGATATATTCCATCCGGCAAACAGACATATCCCCCACCCCCATCCTCTGCTTTGAGTAACTTCTATAAATGAAAATGCTAACAACAAGTTTGACCCAACGTGGCACAAGGACTAATGTCAATGCTGGCCAGGCTATAGCCATTTCCATGTTTACTATTAACTTAGTATTGAGTTTCCCAGGGGGGATAAAAATTATACAACAAAAACAGCCAAACGATTGATCACCGAAAGTTTCCAGGCAAAATCACCCTTCACAGTTTTCACAAGATTGACAGGATTGTAGAATTTGTAGCTTCGCTACCAGAGTGGCCTGGGGCAGTTGCCCGGCGGGGCAAAAAAAAAAAAAAAAAAGGTAAAGAATTTCGGTCTGACCCTGAGGCCAACGTTGCTCAGTTTATTTTTGTGCATCACATAGTTTTTTTCTGTGTTAAACTCCGGGCCGCCCGGCAGCCCAGCCTTCATCCGGCAGGGGTCCCGGGCGGCCCGGCCGGTTGGGTCCCCCGGTTTGGCGCCGGGCGGGCCCAGCGTATTTTTGCGCACGGGGGGGGGGAGGCCATTTTCGAATTGGTTTGGCCCGTGGGAGCCTTCCCGCCCCCCGACGCAATTTTTTACGACGGGCGGCCTTCGAATTCGAACGCGCAGTTTGTCGAAGAGCTGCCCGTTTTATTTTTTCGTTCACGTTGCCCACCGTCGCTGCCCACCATCAAAGAGGTGCCCGTCGTCGCTGCCCGCCGTCGCTGCCGTCGCTGCCCGTCATCGGAAAGCTGCCCCGTCGTGGTCGATACGGTCCTGCTGTGGTATCCGCCTCCACCTCCTTGCTTCCTCTTCTTCTTCTTCTTCTTCCTCTCCTCCGCCTCCACCTCCTTTCATCTTCTTCCTCTCCTCCTCCTTTCCTCCTCTTCTTCTTCTCCCCCTTCCCCTCCTCCTCCTCTCGTCTTCTTCTCTCGTCCTCCTCCTCCTCCTCCTGCTCCTCCTCTTCTTTTTCTTCTCTCCTCCTCCTTCCTTTTTCTTCTCTCCTCCTCCTCCTCGTCCTCCCTTCGTCTTTTTCTCTCCTCCTCCTTTCTCCTCCTCCTCCTACCTGCTTCATTGGTTTTCTTTAGTAGGCGAAGTGCCACGTGTCGGGATTTCTCTCTCTCTCTCCCCTCCTCCTCCTCCGTCATTTTTTTCTTTTTTCTTTTTCGTCAACGCCATACGAAACCGGCAGGTCCTTCTCCTCCTCCTCCTCCTCCTCCTCCTCCTCCCTTCGTCTTCTTCTCTCCTCCTCATCCACCACCTCCTCCTCCTCCGTTCTCCTTCTCCTCCTCCCTATTTCATTGGTTTTCTTTATTGGGCGAAGTGCCACGTGTCAGTCTCTCTCTCTCTCTCTCTCTCTCTCTCTCTCTCTCTCTCT